CCCACCCCCAACCCCAACCCCAACCCCAACCCCAACCCCAACCCCAACCCCAACCCCAACCCCAACCCCAACCCCAACCCCAACCCCAACCCCCAACCCCCTAACCCCGATCCCCAATCTTATACCCATATACTCACTCATAATATATTTTCAACATACAAATACATTTTATAAATATATTTATATATTTATTTTTAAAAAAATACATACCATACATATTTATTTATTCTAAATATATTTATAACATATAATTATCCTATTTTATCAAAATATACTTATAAATACCCTTACTAAATATATTTATTTTTTACAAATAAATTTATAAACATTTTAAATTTTAATTATTTTTTAAAATATATTAATAATCTATTAATAAAAATTAAATATATTTTATACCTATAATTAAAATTTCATAATTATTAAATATATATATATATATATATAAAATATAAATTTTAAAATAATTAATTTTTATTTTAAACTTAAATTAATATAAATTGAAAATTTAATAATAATAAAAGTAAATATTAGTTATTTTTTATTAAATAAAAAATTTATTTAATTTTTTAAAACTAAAAAAATGAAAAATAGACATCTTTTAAATATCTAATTTTTTTTATTTTATTAATATATATTATATTTAAATTTATTTTTAATTACTTTTATTTAGCTTTACCTCTTAATTAGTATTTTTTAGAAATATTTTAATTTATATTTTTTATATATTAGTAAATTTTTTAACTTTATTATATTAATTAATATTTTTTTTTATATTTAATTTTATTTTGTTAAAATTTCATTTTATTTATATAATAAATCTAAGTTAAATTATCATATAGGTTTATTGATTAAACCATTTTTAATTAACTATGATGAATTTATTTTTTATCAAAAACTTCATGTTTGTAAGAAAATATTTTCTTAATTTATATATATATATATATTGCGCTTATGCTTATTTTTATCTATTTTTGTTATAATAAATGACAAAAATAAAATTAATTAATAAATATTTTATGAATTTTAATTTTATACTAGTTATCTAAATGCTTTGCTATATCTTTTCATATCTTATATTTAAGTTTTTTTTATTATATTTATTTTGCTTGTATCTTATGTAAAATATATTACCATCTTTCGTTATGCTTCTTTTCTTACTTATGAGATTATAATATTCCATTTTTTCTTCCTTAATTTTTTAATATTTAAAGTATTAGAAGTTTATTTTCCATATTTTATAATATTACCATTATTATAAAATTACTAAAAATATAACATTTTAAAAGCGAAAGGAATAAGAATAAAAATTATTTTGGAGAAATTAGTAAAACATAAAAATTATTATAAAATTTTAATCAAAAATGTTGGTATTAATTTTTTAGTTATTTATAATATGAATTAATTTAATGTAAACATAACATAAATATTAACTTTTATAAAAATCCCATGATTTAAAGTATTTAAGTTTATATCTGATTTATTAATTATAAAAAAAATTAAAAATGAGTGTATTTTTATTAAAAGATTTTGTATATATTTAATAATAAATATTCAGATATTTTTAATATAATTTATTTTATTTTTTATAAATCAATTTCGAAAACTTATGGATTAAATAATATTATAAAATAATTAATAAAAGCAAATGCCTCCTACAAGTAATATTTACAAGTAAAATTATAATTTTAATAAATAAATAATTGCAAATTCATATTTAATTTATTAAATATATATTATTCCATTTAAAAGAATATTTCCAGAAATAAAAATATTTATATAAAATTCTAGAACAAAAAAAATTAAAAAGGATATTTAAAAACATAATATATATTTAGAAATATTATAAAAAAAAAAAAATATAAAAAAATATCTTATTTAATATAATATAATAAAATAAAAAAAATATATAAAAAATGACTGAAGTAGTATTAGGATATTGGGCAATCAGAGGCTTAGCTGAACCTGTAAGACTTCTTCTTGAATATTTAGAAGTTCCTTACAAATAAAACTTATATGGACATCCTTAACACCCTGAACATGACTGGGCCAAAGATAAAGAATAAAAAAGATAATTAACTGCTTTCCCTAATCTTCCGTATTTAGAAGATGGAAACAAACATATAACTGAAAGTTCTGCTATTATGATATATTTGACCAATAAATGCAATAGAGGAGATGATTTATTAGGAGCTACTTCCGATGAAAAATGGATGAACTAATAAATATTAGGAGTCTAAGGAGATTTGAATAGTATATTAACTTCATAATCTTATAACCCTGATTACTAAAAAATAAAAAATGATAATCTTTAATAAAAAGTTTTACCTAAATTGAAAGAATTAAATGATCATTTAGGAAGATAAAAAACTAAATTCATGGTCAAAAATACACCTTCTATATGTGACTTTAGATTATACGAAACCTTAAAACATGCAGGATATCATTATGATAAGCTTTATGATTAATATGGAAATCTTTAATAGTATATTAATAATTTCGAAAGTATAGATGCTATTGCAAAATATTTGAAAAGTAATAAATTTGTTGAAAGACCAATTAATAGTCCTTCTTATGCTAAATTTTATTGAAAAATATAAATATATTATAATATATATATATATATATATAAATATATATATATATATATTTTAAATGCATTTTTATTATTTTATTTTTTAAATTAATAATATACATATATTTTTTTATTATTTTAGTTATTTAAATAATTTCTATAATTGAAAATATTTATAATTCTAAGTATTTAACATTAAATTAAAATAAAATATTAAAATAATTTATATTTATGATATTATTTATTTTATTTTAAATTTATTAATATTTATTTTTAAGATTATATTTAAATAAAATTTATAATATTTAGTAAATATTTATTATTTAATTTTCTTTTTTTTATGAAACATATTATTAGATAAATTATTTTTCTTTCGTAAAATTAAAAATATAATAAAAAAAGGAAAATATTTTTAAAATAATATTTATATTAAGAATTAAAAAATATTAAATATAAATATAAATATAAATATAAATATATTAAAATATATTAAATTAAATTAAATTAAATTAAATTAAATTTAATTAAATTAAATTAATTAAATTAATTTAAAATATAAATATTATTAAAAATATATTATTGTATTATATTATTAAGAATCTACTGATTATGTTCAATATTTTTAATACTTTTTAGTATTATTTAAAATTTTATTTATTTTTAATACATTCTTTTTTTTATATATATTAATTCTTTATAATAGTAAATAATTTTTGGAAATATTTATATTTATTTATTTAACTTTATTTTAATTTTATTTTAATATATTAAAATAAAATTTAATTTTTATTAAATCCTATTTTAGATAATTTTAATTTTATGCTTCTATACAAATAATAATTTTTTTTAATTTATTTATTTAAAATAATAATATTCTAATATATATATATTTTTTGTAATATTAAAAAAAAATTTGTTTTTATTTTGACATTAATAATAAAAATGGAACAAATTAATATTTAAAATTTTCTGGAATTAATTAAAACATATAATTTTAAATAAAACGAATTAATAAATATTTTATTTACAGAAAGAGATTATTAATATTACGAATTATAATTAATTGATAATTATACATAGATTAAAATATAAAATTAAGTAATTTATAGCTAAATATGCTTAAATGAAAATAAATCAGTTTGTTTATTTGAGTTAGAAACTTTATATAATATTTTTATGGATTAAAAATAAAAAGAATATTAATAATTTGAAAAAATAATAACGAAATGTCCTGTATGTTAATAAATTATTAGATTAGAAAATTTATGTTATGATGAGTTTTTGAATAATTGTTTAGAATTTATTAAAAAAAATAATATTAAGTAAATAGTAATATAAAGAATATATACATATAAATATATATATATATATATATATATATATATATATATATATTTTTACTCATATATCTATATATATATACAAATATATAATACATGTATATTTATATACACATAAATATAAATTTTATACATATATTAATAAAATATTAATTTAGTTAGAATTTTTGTTTTTTTTAATTGCTAAAAATAAATCATTAATTAGTATTATATAAATTAAAATAAGATGAATATTCATTTTTAGAAAATTTAGATTAATATTTTTTGGAAAAAAACACATAAAATTTTTTATAAATTATAAAGCATAAATATTAAGGAATAATTGAAATATAGAGTTAAAAATTAGTTTTTTCAATAAATTAATATATTCGAATATAAAATGAATTAATAGAAGAAATTAATTTTTTAAAATAAATAATATTTAATGATAATATTTCAAAGGAGAAATATGAAAAGGAATTAATTTAAAAAAAAAAATTAAAATAATTTATTTCATCTTAATTTTAAAATAGTTTATATGTAAATTATCTAAATTAAAAAAATTCTAATTCTTATAAAATTTATAAATTAAAAAAACCTTAAAATAATAACAAAAACTAATACTTATTCTCTTTCCAAAAGAATCTACTAATTATAGGAACGACCCATTTTAATTATTAGAGATATTTTTAAATAGGAACAGTATTATTAGAAGGCTAAAAAGAGACATTTTAGTTAAAAAACGAACATAAAATATTACTTGTAGATGATAATATACTCTTAATTATCACAAAAGAAAAAATTTTTTAAATAAAAATCGATGAATTTGATGAAAAAGAGAAATAATTTTAAATGGAGGAAATTTATGCGTTTTCTTAAGTATTCGAAAATATAATTTAAGCCGTTTTTTGTGATTAAGATTTATTTTTGCTCGTTTTTTCTTGCGAATAAATTTTTATTTTAAAAATATAATTTCTATTAATTTATCCATAAGATGTATTTACAAAACAACCTAATTTATTTTTCGAAGATGAAAATACATAATAAAATATATTTTTTTTCAAAGATTATTTTAATAATAATATAATTTTAATTTAAAAAAATTAAATTTTTATATACAATAAATAATAAGACAAATGGTTAGAAAAAGACTTCTATTTTCCTCCTTTATATTAAAATAATAAAAATAAAAACAACTTTTAATAATTAATAGATATATATGAAGTAGATAATTTTTTTTAAGATTAAATTAATTCTTTTGGAGATGAAGAAAAAAAAGAAGAATTATCGATAGAAGAATTAGAATAAGAATAGATAATTGATATTATTTTAGATAATAAGTAAGAATTTTTAATTGAAAATATTAAAGAGAATGTATTTTATTTTTGTAATTTTAAAATGAAATTAATTTTCAAGTTTAGACTTTAATCATTGGAATTTAAATAAGTTAATGTTTAATTAATAGTTAATGTATTTCTAATAATTTCTAATATAAAAATGGATAATTTTATTATATTGTAAATTAATAAAATATGTAAAATAATGAAAACTTTTTGGAAAATATTTTTTTCAAAAATTAATAAATGATAAAGAATTATTCGAAATTCGAAAAATCTGAAGATTTTTTAGTTTTTTCAGCTAATAAAAATTTATGAATTTTATTTTTATTAAAAAAATATTTTTATATATCAAAAAAATTTTTGTTATTTACTATTTTAAAAAATATAATAATAATAATTAAAGAAAAATAAATAAAATCAATCAAAATTAAGTTGTTAGGCAATATATTCTGCTGAAATCTATATATGAATATATATATATATGCATATTTATATATATTTATATATATATATTTATATTATATAAAATCATAATTTATAAAATATAACAAAATCAAAAATTATACCTTTAAGCTATTAATAAATCTCTATTCTCCTTCTAAAGTACTATTACTGCTTATAAAATCTTCAACAAGTTAAAATTACGAAAATGCATCATTTATATTACTCATAATAAGTACATAAATAACAATAGGTAATTCATCATCCATTTAAGTAATTTCTTCTTATCCTTAATGAAAATCAATAACTAAAGACTTTATTATTGCCCTCATCATCATAATATATTTAAGTTTTTCTCTAGGAGAGTTAGTTAGGTCAATTTTATTTATTTCTCTAATAGCTTCATTGTACGGGATTAATAAATCTTCTTCTGTTTCTTCTGTATTATTTTTTACGAGCCAAAATTTTTATTTGACTTCTAATTTTTTGAAAATTTACTTAAATGAAATTTCCTTTTGAATTTTTTCTCGTTTGCTTTTAAAGGTTTAGTTTATTTAATTAAATTTAAATTGATAAATATTAAATAAAGTTTCAAATACTTTAGAAAATACATATTTTTCAATTGACATTTTGCAATAAGGCATTACTGTTTTAGTCTCGTTTTTTCCATAATTAAAATCAGAAAAAAAACTTTCCACAATTTCATTTATTTAAGTAATGATTGATTCCATCTATATGAATATATATATATTTATATATACATATATATTTATATTTCTTATTTACTTATTTAGGCATTTATTCAGATTATTCTTATATGTTCTTACAATTATTTTAAAAATCTTATATATATTTGTATACTTTCTTTCCTATTCCATAAGATTAATGTGATAAAATTTTATGAAACATATAATTAGCTGTAGATTCTAAAGTAAAAGGATTTTAGTTAGCTTCTTATTCTTCATCTCTATATATACATATATATATATAAATATATATAAATATATATATATATATATATATATATATATATATATATATTTCATATATATATATATGATATACGTTTCTTCTTCTATTTATTTTTAAGTAATAAAAACTTTATCAAACTAAGCTGTATCATTTGTACTATTAGAATCTTGACTTGTTTTATTTTAATTATGATTATTTACATTTAATAAATTTTTTAATTCATTTATAAATTTATTATTGGTTTCTAAATCCTTTATGTACATTATATTTATGTTTTTTTTATAATTTTTTATTTTACTCCCTTTAAACCTTTTATAATAACTTTTCTTTTACATTAATATTAATTTGTAATTATTTATAGTTTTATAGCTGATATAAGTATTTTCTATTAATAAATACATTAAAAAAATAAATTCTTCATACTAAAATCATTTCTTTTAATAATTAAAGATTACCCTTTATCGTTTTCAACTATCATATAATTCCTTTATATATATATATATGTTTTATATTATAATAAAAATATAATAATATATAGATAAAATTAATAAAAAATATATTATATATAAAATTAAACAATTATTTAGCTAATTTTAAAAATAAATCCGTAATAGCATTCACTGGGACTGCTAATGAAACATGAAATACGTATTATGGTTAATCTTATTTTATATTAATATCAATAATTTTAATTCTATTTTATATAATTAATTTTTCAAAGAAAAAAATAAAAAATAATATATATATATATATATATATTTATATATATAATAATTTATATAATAACTCATTTTTTTAAATATTATTTCTTTATTTTTAGCTATCTTTATTTATAATTGTTTAATTAATCATCTTTTTTTTTATTTATTTAAACTATTTTATTAATTCATTTAATAAAATATAAAATTACATCATTATTTAATTTTGATGAACATAATAAACTATCTTAATTATTTTTTACAATATTTACACCTTATTTTATTGTCAGGTTTTAAGCTTATTAGTTTTTTTCTGCGTTTAAATTATATTTTTC